TATATATATTCATCCGCAGGTATATTTATATCCAAGTGTGTAAATATATATATATAAGTGTATGTAAATACATATGTATTCATTTGTTCATATATGCAAGTATTTGTAAATATGCAAGCATATAAATGTATATATATATATATATGCAAGTGTGTATATATATACATATATATATGTTTGCAAGTGTGTATATATACATATGCATATGTGTGTATATATATATGTATGTATGTATATATATATATGTAAATATGCGAATGGAGTGTGCACCACAGGCTACGACAATTACTCAAGTATTTAACTCCATTTTGTCCACAACCAAAGGTTGCATCAAACTGCACCTTTGGCTCAAGACGACTGCAAGCCATAGACGGAAAACACTGCCATGCCGAAACTGCATGTCCCACGTTGTCATCAGTGAGAACATTCACAACAAGATCCACTATTCGCATATAATCGGGGAGACCTGCAACCCTCGATTCACAGGTTATCAGCCGTAGGACTCCTACGGAGCCTACGAGCGGGTAGCCGCGGGCCTTACAGATGACTGAACAGGATAGCAGTGATAACGCATTTTCTTTCTCTGGACATGCCGTTGCACCAGCTGCCGGCACGCAGTCAAATTCTTCACAAAGTATTGACACTGGTGGAAGCGATGCCTCAGAATTGAGAACAAGCCAACCCAGGCGACAACTGGTTGCTCCTAGAGGGAGACAAATTTCGACAATGCAAGCAATTGAAGATAGGGACAGCACACCTGGAAAGAGAAGATCATCTGCACGACAATCGTCGCCTCCGATGACTCCAAGGACTAAGGCAAAGACTACGTCTTCGAATCCGCCTTCACCGATTCAGGACGCTACTCCATCAGGGACAGGATCTTATCAACAAGTGAACGCCCCGTCAAGTGGTAGCGACATCTTCACTGCCTATCAGAGTGAATTATCTGAGTACAAGACATCACTGGAAAGGGCCACTGAAGAAGAATCTGTACTTCAGGCAAGACTGAGCGAGACGACAGCATATGCCTATCAACAATTTAATTTCCTGGAAAGCACCACTCATCAGGAGATGATGTCGATGACCGAACAACTCCAGATGCTGAACTTCGAATTACAGGCTGCACAACAGGAAGATGAAGGTGCGACCTACAGGATCGAAGAGTTGGAAAGGTATCAGACTATGTCGAATGAAGCTGCATCTCATTTGGAATTCAAATATTCACGACTACGTTCGGAATTCGATGAACAAATGGGACAGGCAAACGCAATTATGGTACATGTGGGAACTGACGCGAATGCTCACATCAATCAACTCAGACTGGAACTGGAAAACGCAGAGATGAATGCCAAGCAAGAAGCTCTAGCAGTCGGCTACGCTAACGACCAAACATGTGCTTTGCAGATCGAGATGCTCGAGGTTGCCAATCAGAACCAGACGATGAAGCACACCATGGCCATGAACGTCAGACGACTGGAAACTGAGTTAGATGCTGCTGACATGAAGAGGGACGAGATCATGAAGGAGTTCCGTAGTAACATAAGATCTGAACATGACCGCTATGCAGAGTGTGAACATCACTTAGCCTTAGAAGAATCACAACTTCGTTTACAGGAGATCCACAGTGAGAACTTACAATCTCGACTAGCGATTTCTGAGAACAGGATTTCTGAAGAATCTCTGGCTGAATCAGGCGGTATGCGGGACATGAGGTTAATGGGACTACGCTCTGAATTACACATGAAACAAAGTCTTTTAGATCGAATGCAACAACAACTGACTGAATCGAAGAATCAATATCATGAACTTTCCTGTCAACAAGCCAGAAGATCTTCACCAAGCAGATCACCGCATGGAGGACCTCTATACGAGATGTACATGCAAGCCGTACGTGAGCGTGACAGCTTGAAGGAATCCAAGGCTGAAGTTGACAAGTTGTACTTACAGAACAGAACTGAACTCATTGACACTG